TTATTGTCGCCTTTGTTACTGTCCTAGTTTTTAGCCGTAGGAGTCTTCAGACTCTAGACTTTATGTCATTCATCTGCAAAGAATTCCTTGGGTAGAGCTGGCACTTCCTCATCTGTGTTTCAGTAACAGTTTGTGTGCGGCTTTAGAATCATAACCATAACAATAACACCTGTAATTTATTCTGTATATGTCACTAATGTTTAATATAATTCTCTGATTCTTTATGCATCTCTACAATGCCAAATAATAGGAATTATTGCTCGCACTTTGCAGATAAGGTGACTGAGGCCTAGATAAGTAAAGACAATTGTGTTAACCCACCAGGTAGACGATTTTGTAGCTGAGATTTGAGCAATGTTCTGACCCATTCCAAAGCCCAGCTCTACCTGTTCACCACACTGCCTCCTCCTTTCATATGATATTTGAACTATTTGTTTCTGGCTACCTGACCAGTACAATAAACGCCAGGGACCAGAGATTCTCTTTTGCACACATATGTATCTCTAGAAACTGATACTAGGTTTGGTGTATAGTGACCACTACTTGATAATTTCCCCTCAGTAAAATAGAATGAATGAACAAATTGGATGAACCTTGGTTCTTAGAAAATTCAGTAGAGAGAATTTTTTTATTCATGCACATCTAAGTTTATCCATTGAAATGGCCTCAGTACGAATCTGGATATAAGACTGTTGATCTTATATTCAGGAATCTTGCTAAATTCACTCAGTAGGTTTTACAGCTTTTAGATTCTTTAGGATTTTAAAGCTACATACACAATTATGTCATCTGCAAATAAAGAGAGTTTACCTCTCCCTCTTCAATACCAAATAGTTTATTACTGATAGCTCATTTAGCTCATTCTTTTTTATTTATTGCTGTAGAGAATACAAATTAAATGTTAGAATGTAATTCCTTTAAATATTTAGAAACTTATGATCTCTATGATAGGATAATGTCTAAAAAAGATTTAAAGTTTGAGTTGTTCAAATAAAATAGAAATGTATTTCTTTTTCTAACTTTTTTACTAGTGCAGGGAGTGAGAGACCATCTGAATTCCACCACGAATACTATTCCCTAGGCTGCTAGCTTTGTCTGCGTGATCAAAGTTTGTCTCTGATGCCCCCTTTCTAGTCTGCAGGAAAAAGAGAAAGTCCAGATCAAGCAATTTCCTGTTAGGAAAATAAGTGCAAGTTGACCATATTACTTCTGTTCCTATTTTACAAGAGAAAACACAGTCGTATGGTCACAACTACCTGAAGGAGAAGGTGGGAAACTTAATCTCTAGCTGGGCAGCTAGAAGAGGGTAGAAAAGATCAGACTGCCACAGTCTCCAAAAGCAAATATAGTAATACTTTCACTGATCTAATAGCCATACTTTTGAGCAAACCTGCAGAAAAAAAAAAGCCACAATACTTTCTAATATGTGAGAATGCCCGAACAGAATGGGCAGACGTAGTCCCAAAGTCCTAATCTCTATTTCACGTGCAAGCAGGGGAGTTATTTCATATCTACAGCACACTAACTTAGCATTGTGAGCAAAATTAGAGCAATGAAGAACAAGCTCACATCTGGGGTTTTCTCCTGGTATGCTTCAGTTTTTCCTAGGCTGCTGCTGGAAGGAAATGAAACACATCAAAGGTGTGGAAAGGTGGAGGGATGCCACTCGGTGCAGACACTCTGGCGAAAGGGCTAAGTGACAGCTAATGGCCAGCATGGAGACAACGTATAAAGACACCACAGTCTAGGATAATCTAGCACAGAGAAAACATCCCTGGACTTGCCTGAGTGTTCTCTAAGGCATCACTGTGCTGCTGCCAAGTATCAAACTGATGTTCATGAGGCTGTCCCCTGTGAAAATCATCCCTCGAAGAGGAGTCTCGGATATAATATTATATACATCCTCTCCTTGTCTCCTTACTCTCCCCATTTCCCGTACATCAAAAAACAATTCTGGAATAAGTTTTATCCCATTTAAATGAGATTTAAATGAACCTTAAGAATATACCTTTAATGAGAAAGGACATCTTAAAGGAGGATGTCCTTTAAACTAATGAGATGATTGCACTGTGACCAATGAGATGATTGCACTGTGACCAATGAGGAAGGTTAAATGGATCAATATTCACAGAATGGAGTATTTAGTGCAGCGTAAAAAATATGTTTAGTAGATAAAATTAAAATTTTTCCATGGTTCAAGGGTAAAGTTTACCCAGACAGCCTCCTCACCCAATAAAATGAGGTAAACCAGGTATTTATGAGTTAAACTTAATGAGCTTGACATTCAGTAGTTTCTCATCTTTTTCATACATTACACGGAAAAAAACCTACTTGATGACAATGAGACCATAGTAGTGTATATGACTGAAGTTAGAGCTTGCATTGGCCATACTACTGTGTGTGTGTGAGCGCGCGCATGTGCTTATCAGTTTTCCAAGCCTAGAACTTGGACTTAAGAACAAGTGGGGTTGGGCATAGTGGCTCATGCCTGTAATCCTAAAACGTTGGAAAGCCAAGGTGGGTGTATCACCTGCGGTCGGAAGTTCAAGACCAACCTGGCCCATATGGGGAAACCTCATTTCTCTACCAAAAATACAAAAATTAGCCAGACATGGTGGCGGGCACCTGTTATCCCAGCTACTCGGGAGGCTGAGGCAGGATAATTGCTTGAACCTGGCAGACGGAGGTTGCAGTGATCCACGATGGCATCACTGTACTCCAGCCTGGGCGATAAGAGCGAAACTTCATCTCAAAAAAAAAAAAGAGTTAGTGGATATTAATCAACTCAAGAATTTTCTTTGCCATCACTGTTATGAGATTGAAATAAAGGAGGAAAATGATACTGCATGTAGTTCAAAAGGCAATGATTAGAAAACAATTTATATCTTATTTAAAAATACGTATCTCCATGTATATTTGTGTCTGATTTGGGCATTCCCAATATTCCAAAGAAATAATTAAGCAACACTGCAGAGGTCTTACTTGGAAAATTTATAAAGCTTATAGTTTCCCCACTCTTGGCCTCAGTGGAGCTAAGAATTTAGAGAATTCTGTTTAATGTACAACTCCATATACAATCTTTTGTGTATCTATTGTGTATTGATTTCAAGCAGCACAAAGCATCTTTAGGGGGCTTCAGCTCCAAAAGGGGCACTTGCCATAAAGATGCAGAGCAAGAAGTTAGGTCTCAAAAACAGAGTAAACAAGACTTAGAAAGTTATCAGAAATTTATCTCTCTGCATGGTTGCTTCATTTATACGGATCTTTTTATTCTGAAGGACTTTCGCTTCTCCTTTAGACCATGGGCAAAAATGTACACATTATTGGTCTACAGAGACAGACAAATGTGTAATCTCTGAACTATAATTTCAAATTTCTAGGAGAAGAAAACCTATTGTCTCGGGTTGTTCAAGTTGCTACTCCTAATCCTATCAGCTGTGGCTGATGTAGGAAGATAACATATATAACCAGAGCTAAAAGGAAAATACCCTGATCAAAAGGGAAGTAGTTCCCAGAAAGAGGATTATTTAGAGATGAGCAGGTAGCCTCCAAATTGTCTTTATTTTTTATTATATATATTTTTATTTTTTTGAGACGGAGTTTCGCTCTTGTTACCCAGGCTGGAGTGCAATGGCGCGACCTCGGCTCACCGTAACCTCCACCTCCTGGGTTCAAGCAATTCTCCTGCCTCAGCCTCCTGAGTAGCTGGGATTACAGGCGTGCACCACCATGCCCAGCTAATTTTTGTATTTTTAGTAGAGACGGGGTTTCACCATGTTGACCAGGATGGTATCGATCTCTTGACCTCGTGATCCACCCGCCTTGGCCTCCCAAAGTGCTGGGATTACAGGCTTGAGCCACAGCGCCCGGCCCAAATTGTCTTTAGATATTGAGTCCAGAAATAAGCACTGTGTAAAGAAAATAGATGCTTATATTATAATTCCTAGTTTTTTTAAAAAAAATCACAATCTTACAAACCTATGTATATATGTGGAGTAAAGGAGTAAAATTTAGTATAATGATTACTAGTGATGGTTTTGATCAAAAGGGAGCTGGATGTAGTGGAAACATGATGGAACTGAAAATGCAAAGACATGGGTTCAAATCTTGGTTCTGGCCTCTAGTCTTTATAGTCCCTTGGATGGGTCACACATTCTTCGTTTGTGGGTCTTCATCCTCTTAATTCTAAATGTGGGCAATTATATTTAACTTAAAGGCATTTTGTAAGAATTAAATGCAGCACCTACCAAATGGATAGTAGACAGCAGAAGCCAGCCTACAACTGTGTGGTTCACTGAGTGTGTTTTCTTTTGTTATTTATTTATTTATTTATTTCTTCTTCTGCTTCTTCTTCCTCCTTTTTTTTTTTTTGAGATGCAGTTTCACTCTTGTTGCCCAGGCTGGTGTGCACAGGCGTGATCTCAGCTCACTGCAACCTCCACCTCCCGGATTCAAGTGATTTTTCTGCCTCAGCCTCCTGAGTAGCTGGGATTATAGGCACCTGCCATCACGCCCAGTTAATTTTTAGTAGAGATGGGGTTTCCCCATATGGGCCAGGCTGGTCTCGAACTCCTGACCTCAGCTGATCCAACTGCCTCAGCCTCCCAAAGTGCTGGGATTGCAGGAGTGAACCACTGCACCTGGCCTGAGTGTGTTTTAATTATATAACCTTGGGGAAACAATGGGCTGGATGTTGGCAATAGATTAAGATATAGGTGTCTAACACTAGGTAAGTTTCAAAGCCACCTTTGCTAGATTTAACTGGAAAAAACAGAAGAAAGAAATGATACCAGTATATGACTATTTTAAAATTGTTGCTTCAATATACTAGTCAAAGTCTCCCAGAGCTATTTACCATCTCAGGACAATTTGTTCACTTCACTTAGAAATTAGAAATGTGCTCTGGCCAATAAATCTAAATTTATTTTGTAGTAGTCATTTTGCTTAATGGAAGTGTTTTCCAGATGTTGCCTAAGTCTAGTCGTCTGGGCCCTCTTCCAACACATGAGGAAAGTTTGATTTCATAGGCTGTCACTGTTGATTTTGTCTAACCTTTGGACTAACTGGTTCATCCCGGTATATTTGCACTGATATATAAGACTTCCAGGACATTGGAGAAACTCATCTATCCTTTACGGGTAAGTGTCAAAGTTAACTTGCTTCATGAAACTACATGTGTTTTCTTTAGAGGTATTCGAAAAAAATTTATAAGGATAGTAGTTGGAAATTTTTGAAAAGGATTATTTTATGTAATACACCTGTTGGAAGCCTCTGAATTTATATTGAGAGTTAAGGAAAAGTTGGAACAATAACTCCATGATGCTTATTAAATTACATTTTACTGACACCGTTTATGATTTTCCTAAGATAAAATTTTAACCTTGCATTGTTAAGTACATGCTATACTTTGACTAGAGTTTTAAGATAAGTCTGTTTTCTATGTTAGATATTTCATAATTATTATAACTGTCAGTAACATGGCTGAGGGTGACTTGATTTGTTCTGCATAAGATGAAGTCTAGTGGTCAAATATTTTCTATAGAATTAAAGCTGACTTTAAAAGTCTTGTTTTAAGAAGGGGATGGTTTTATTATTAAGTTACATTTTTAAAGTTACTGAAATGTATATAATGCAAGTGTAAGTTAGTGGTGAGATTAAAGAGCAGTTTTCTGATACTGTTATTTTCTTTTCAGCAAGGATACCTACAGTACCTGAAACAACCATGGCGTGGAAAACACTTCCCATTTACCTGCTATTGCTGCTGTCTGCTTTCTTGATTCAGCAAGTTTCATCTCAAGGTACCCTAACCATCAAACATACTTTTATTTAACATCTATGGCTAAATCATTAAGTCTTGATTTTTATAACATCGACAGAAACAGATTTCTAAAAAGTTGTATTTGCTTGAGTTTAATATATCATAAAATTTTACAATAATATGAAACATATGTAGCACGTTTATAAGTGCTTTGGAGTTTTCATCTTTTTCACCTTTCAAGAGTTTTGAGCTTGTGTAAATTATAATTTCGGTATTTGTTATTTCCATGGTTCTCCCAAAAGACAGTTCATGATAAAATTATGCTGGAACTATATAATATCATAAAAATAACTTAAAAAAAAACCAATATTTAGATAGCATATAATTTTTTTCTATATGTTGAATAATTTAGTCTTTCAAATCAAATAAATTATTGACTAACTTATTTTGGCATCATTTAGACGCAGACACCATATTGTAATAAACTTTACAACATTTCAAATGGCATTTTATTAGTCTTGAAAATGTTCTTTCTTACAAGAACAATTCATCCAGGTATGGGCACATACAGATGTGACTGCCATTTGGTATTATAACATTGAACTTGTCACAGTCCTCCCAAAGCAGGTCCTGGGTGAACAGTTCTTGTTATCCATTTGTAGAGAATGTTAAAGTACATTCAATGTAATCACATTAGTAAAAGATGCCAGCATGCCATCTAGATGGATTAAGAGTAACAATGCCATGCTTTGCATTTTCCTTTCCTTTTCTTTTCTTTTATTCTCCTTTGATAAGCAAACTCTGAGAGAATAAAAATCAAGATTCATGATAGTTATAATGAAATTACATTTCTAAAGTAAACATTTCTAGTAAAATAGTAAGATTCTTATGAAACCTGAATATGAATGTAACTGCCTGCATAGGCAGAAGTTGCAGAATTGTTTAGATAAGAGGGGAAAACAAAGGAAAGCAAATGTGAATATTAAAAAAGAATGATGAGTACTCCAGTATCTCCAGACCCTTCAGCCTTTTCATAATGATATGACAAGGTTCACAACACTGGGGACACTTTCTAAACCGCCTTTTCCTCTGTAATACAATCAGTTGTTCACTAAACCAATTTTACTTTACTTTAAATTTTCATTAAATAAATGAAATTAAAATTAATGGGGCTGGGTGCAGTGGCTCACACCTGTAATCCCAGCACTTTGGGAGGCCTAGGCAGATGGATCACCTGAGGTTAGGAGTTCAAGATCAGCCTGGGCAACATGGCAAAACATTGTCTCTATACAATATACAAAAATTAGCCAGGTGTGGTAACGCATGCCTGTAATCCCAACTACTTGGAGGCTGAGGCAGGAGAATCAGGAGGTGGAGGTTGCAGTGAGCTGAGCTCACACCCCTGCACTCCAGCCTGGGAGACAGACCCAGACTCTGTCTCAAAAATAAATAAATAAAATTAATGGTTACAATTAATAGCAATAAAAGTAGGACAGAAGAAGACTTCTTCTTTCTCTTTCTTTCTTTCTCTTTCTCTCTCTTTCTTTCTTTCTTCTCTTTTTTGAGACAGGGTCTTGCTCTGTCTCCCAGGCTGGAGTGCAGTGGCACGCTCTTGGCTAATTTTTGTATTTTTAGTAAAGATGGGGTTTCACCATGTTGGCCAGGCCAGTCTCGAACTCCTGACCTCGGGTGATCCACCTGCCCTGGTCTCCCAAAGTGCTGGGATTACAGATGACTTCTTAGTTCAGAAATCTGCCAACTATAAAGGAACATTCTCTTGATACTGTCTTGTCTGCTTCTCTTGCTTTCTCAACCTCTTCTCGTTTTCTTTCTTCTTATATATAATATATGTATTTATATACATACACTATATATGAGTTTTTGTATGCATTATGCATTCATGTATGCAAAAAGTTCTGAAAGTTGTCTTATAATTTACTGTTTCGTTTGCATATTCAGACTTTGTCATTCCTGGACTCTATTAAGATTTGTTTTCATTGTGTTTCAACATTCTTCTGTGGATTTAAGACATTGCACCTGTCAATTTCTATTCCAGAGATGGATTCCATTGTCACATTCCTGCAGTCATTTCTCAGGGAAAGTTTTGTGTTGTTTTCCAAATGTCTTTTAAAAAATATTTGAGGATGAGTATGCTTTTGTTGTTTGCTTATTTGTTGCTGGGAAAACCTCCATTCATGGATGACCTTTATAGTTATGCCCAGTTATTTTAAGGGTTCTTACTTAAGCAGTGGTTGTAAGCATCTGGCTTCCCTGACAGTTAAAAATCCAGTTATCCCCGCCAGTTAAGGAAGAGAAAGCCCAGTATAATTTGTGCTGCTGCAATCAGCTTGTTTTAAATTCATCATCAGGAATGGGAGGCAATGCAGTGGGTGAAAAAATCTCAGGCTTAAAATCAGCTACATCAGAGTTCAAATTCTGGATAGATTGTTTACTTAAGGTGACCATAAGTTAGGACAATTATAAGAGTAAAAGTTCACTATAAATAATTGGGAGGTATTAATTAACCTATGATGCAAATATACTGTAACTATTACCTAGCCATTTGACACCGAGCAAGTTGTCAAAATTTCTGTATTTCAGCTTTCTTATCTCTAAAAAAGGGCTACTAAATACCAGAAACATTTTCATAAGCATTAGAGATAAGGTATGACTCAGTACCTGGCATAGAGAAGCTCAATAAATGGCAACTACTAATCATCATAGCCACAGTATCAGCAGTAGCTGCAGCTGCCACCTCTCCCTTAGAAATATCACCCTCTTTAAACATTACTTTGCCTGCTTTTCAAAAGTGTATTTATCATCTCAGTGTAGTGAAAAATAAAGCGACATGATCGAAATCACCTAAGACAGCAGCCAAATATCAGCTGGGCCTCTTGCTAACATCATTCCAATACTTTCTTGATCAATACAGTTCTCTCTCACCAAGCGGCTTTGTCCCTGTCATTAGATCGCTCCTTTTCTATAAAGTGGTTTGGCCATATTTACACCAGTATTGTATAATTTTAGATTTATCAAGCTGTGCAGGGAGATGTGGGGAAGGGTATTCTAGAGATACCACCTGCAGCTGTGATTTTAACTGTCAACACTACATGGATTGCTGCCTCGATTTCAAGAGAGTCTGCACTGTGGGTAAGTCCTGAGAGTGAGTGTCTCCTCTGTCAAGCTACAGTGTGAGTCTGTGAGTCCCCTTGCACTTCTGTGCAGTGCTGAAACTGAGCCTCCCCCTGCACCCCTTGCAGTACTGTTTTCCCACTCTTTCACTTCCTTTGCTTAAGTGCCTTTTCCTTCACTTGCATAAATGTTGCAGCGCATTGTACCTAAGGATGGTGTCAAAGCTTGTGATTACTGGGGAGGGTAAGGAGAGCCTGGAAATCTGTCACTTGCACGAGGTTATTGACTAGTTCCAAGTAAAATGTCTTATTTTGGAAAAAACACGGTAAGTCCGTAGCCATTAAGTAGATAGTAAGGAGTAATCATTTACAAGCAGAGATGTCCTTGACTAGTAATGAGGGCTTTCAATAGTTTCTACGTTAGAATAGATGAGCATGAAATAATGTTGTGTACTCTTTGACTTTTTCATGTAAATACATTTCTAAATTACCTGAAAAAGGCACTTTAAAGAAAAAAACGCTAGTGTTTAATGAGGAATTTCAGTTAAAACCCGAAGGTCTGAATTTTAAATTATGAGTGGTGTTTCACTTGAATATATTTGGGCCATTTTGTTATTAATACAGAAACATTTCCTATTCAATTTAAGAAAATTAAAATTATTTAAAAGGTATATTTGCTTTATAATTTTCATGTAAAGCTGAGAAATATATTGTATAATTTTTGTATTGGATAGGTAATTATTTCAAATAGGGCTTGGTAAGTCCCTGGTACTTGTAACCCAGGCTTTTTAAATTTTCATTTTTTAAATGAGTAGTCCTCCCTAATACAGTCCACACTATAAGATTAAGCTAAAAGCTTTCAACTATATACTCTTCCCAGTTCATCATAAGAAGGGTCTCTGCATTACAAAGATTACTAAGCCTTAATAGTGACCCATTTATATGGTAAATACATACATATATATATATGTATATGTGGAATATATTGCTGAGATCTGAACATTCAATTACTGTAAATATATTACAAAGCAGTTATGTGAAAAGGAGGATGAAGAGATTCAAATGAAGCGTACCTCACTATTTAGACATTTGCCAATTTTTCACTGTCCATACATGCAAATAACTCAGGCACCATCGGGATGTCTCCTGGAGTCTTGAAGGGCAAGAAGAGTTACCCTCAGTCACCATATTTCTTTTTTGACTTGGGCTGTCTCATCTGGGATACCATCTAATTTTTACTGGACGAGGTACTCCAAATTTCAAATAAAAGACTTAGAAGTGAACTTTTGGAAAGCTAGTCAAGTCTAAGGTGGGAAATGGCTGTCAAATACACGGGCCTGGCTTCATAATGAATAATCTGTAACTTCTTGTTTTGCTCTGGGTAGAGCTTTCCTGTAAAGGCCGCTGCTTTGAGTCCTTCGAGAGAGGGAGGGAGTGTGACTGTGATGCCCAATGTGAGAAGTATGGCAAGTGCTGTCCCGATTATGACCGTTTCTGTGAAGCAGGTAAGCATCCCGGTACCAACCAACACTTCTCAGTACAGCCAGGTCTGTGCACCTCCCTTCCCATCACTGGTCATGCCTAACACGCAGTCCATCTCAGGCCTTGATTTTACTAACATACAAGCTATTTCATAATCATTTTGTTTTGTGAGTGCCTTCCAACAGCAGCACCCCCTGGCTCAGCCAGGCTCCAGGAACACAAGATGTTGCCAAAGGGGGACGGATATGGTTCAATTTCAGGTTAAATCAATAGTAATCAACTCACCTGATGGTTTCTTGTCTCACGTTTGCTGATTTCACGAAGTCAACTATCCTTTGAGCTATCTGTGCTTTTGGCCTCAGTGTTTGAGTATGTATTTAAGGACACAACACTTTCAGCTTCCCTAAAAAAGTAAATTTATGAATTAGTTTAAGCCATTAAACGTGTAGGCAAGTCTACCTAACATGTCGTTAACTGTCACGTTCCTTCCCATTTCTGCAGTCTCCTCAGTTGACCCTATTCCAATGCATGTGCATGGTAGAGTCAGTAACAAGGGATATTCTCGTCTTAAAATCATCTTCTCTATGTATAGGTCTTGAAGGACTATTCTAGAATATAACAAAAGGCTCCAGATTTTACAAAAGATTAAAAAAATATATACTTAAATACTGGATTACTTTCCTTTACCAAATGGTTGTTCTTAAATTCTACTTTGTTAAAACAAGTTTATCTGTGGAGGTAAAAGTGAAGATAAGCTTTGCTTGCATAATCAATCTTATCATTTTATTTAAACAAGGGTGCACCTTCTGCTTCTTTAGAACAGTGAAGAAACAGAGTGGAAAACTGTTAATCAGCAGAGTTGAGAATGTTTCTTAACTGTTCAATGTTTTCATGGCAAAACATTCCAAAAATAATGAAGACAACACCCTTGTAATAAAAAACTCAGAACTCAGCCTTCCTGCAGCTTTTAGCAGGCCCCATGATGAGTGATACATAGTTACTCATTACCCTGATTGTTTTGGCTATGACACAAAAATCTAAGAATTTATTTTGGGCAGAGAATGTGCAGGAAGGGAAGATGATTAGAAAGTGATGAGACACCGAGAGAACATTTTGATAAAGATAATACTTTATGCTATGAAATGTTTGGTTGGATTTCTTAAAGTTTAGGTGGAACTCAGTGGAAATAAACTGATGAAGGCAATGCTTGGTAACTTTATTTACAGAATTCATAAGATAGTCAGGGTCCCAACTTAAAATGAGGAAACCACTCAGAGCTTCAGTAGTTTATTTTTTAAGTATAATCTTGAGATTCACCACTTAGTTCAGTATAAATACTACGTACAGCTGTCTATATATCTAAAATCGTAACACTTCAAGAATTAAAGGAATCCCAGCCATCCAAGTGCCTCTGAACGTAAAAGAGAAAACAGAGTCCAAGGGGTTAACTGTTTTGGCCAAGAGCATTAGCCAGTACATGGCAGATCTGTTTTTCAAATGGGGATCTCTAAAAACTCAGATGTTTATTCAAGAGTTTGCAGAGAAGAAGATGAAGTTCAAGAGAATTATTTGCCTAGGGTCACAATGGTAGAGGCCTGCAGATGAAGGACTGGAATTCAGGTCTTCTGATTCCTGAGACTTTGCTCCCTGTCATAACTTACCATTTGGGAATCCATATTTTATAGCAATGCATCCTTAGAATTAAATGGAGTCATTCTTGTTGGGCTGGAGCCTGCCTGCACTGGCTGTCACCAGCATCTGCTCTTGAAGCTAGATGCATCCATGTTTTTCACACTTAGCGCTGCTGATGAGTATTAACGAGATGTTAACCGACTTGTCTTGCTTGGCCTCAGTGCATAATCCCACATCACCACCATCTTCAGAGAAAGCACCTCCACCTCCAGGAGCATCTCAAAGCATCAAATCAACAACCAAACGTTCACCCAAACCACCAAACAAGAAGAAGACTAAGAAAGTTGTAGAGTCAGAGGAGATAACAGAAGGTAGGAAGATGACAGATATAACCTAAGGAGCTTTCTTAGCTGAAGTAACTTGTAGGTGACTGCTTATCTAAGCCTGTTCTCAAAGAACAGGGTAATCTTAGGAATCATGAAGCTCATTACACTTAAAGTTTTTTGACTTTGCTTTTAAGTAAAGTTTAACACAAAGTATAAACTCTCAGGTTATTTACAGTCTTTCTCTATTTACCAAACCAAGCATGAGTCTGGGTTAAAACAAATCAAGAGACAAATCTTATTATAAAAAACAAAAACCACCCCATGATTTTCTTTGCATAATAATTAGACTCTGTGTTTTGGAGGATATGGGAAGGTTGAGAGGTACTAGTAATACTGCTAGTGTCTGTGATAAGCTCAGGTACCTTGTTTTTAACTGACAAATGAAAAGGCAATTGACCATATTACTAATAAAAGCAGAACCCAGATACTTGTAGATTAGTAAATAGCACTTCTTGCTGTATTTGGACTGGTGGTTCTTTTTTGTTTTCAATCACAGTTGGTGTGATCAAACTTTCTATTTGATTTATAGAACATTCTGTTTCTGAAAATCAAGAGTCCTCCTCCTCCTCCTCCTCTTCCTCTTCTTCTTCAACTATTCGGAAAATCAAGTCTTCCAAAAATTCAGCTGCTAATAGAGAATTACAGAAGAAACCCAAAGGTTTGAGCATTGATAAAGATCAAAGACTATATCAATGCCATACTAACAATGATTATTTAAAAGTAATGTGTGTTGGTAGAATGAGGACATCTCCACATGGGGGGAGGGAGATATAACTTTATAAATATTATCTTAGAAAGTACCAAATGAATATTTCCTACAGGAAATTAGTGCCAAGCAGCTAAGAAGCCACGCTTAAAAGCAAAGGATAAGAAGATCCTGTAGCAGTGACTTGGAACCACAGGATGGCACCAGAGATGATTATGGTGTTCTATTGTCGTTCTTGTTTACTTGATATCATGTTGCTTCTTCCCCTTCATCTTCCTTGCATTTTCATTTTCCTTCCCCAGCTTTAACAAACATTTATATACTATTGTTCTAAGTGTTTTACAAGTATTAATCCATTAAATTCTTATAAACCCCTATGAAAAAAATATTACCATCCATATTTTACAAATCCTCTTTATTTTCCTCATAACATATATATCATATCTGGCTGATTTTTCTCTAGTAGAGATTGCTATAGAGTAGGCTGTTATCGCCCCAAAGATATTTCCTTTGCTCTTTATTATTTCCTTAAGTTCTGGTTCTAAAATATATTCTTTCTCTAGAAAATACTGGATTTTTGGATACGGGAGTTTTAAAGAACTCAGATGGTTGTGATTTCCTCTGAAGCATTCTCTCTAGATAAAAAGCCAGATATTTCATCTTTTAGTCACCCAGAAAATTGTGCACAAATCCACCCCAAGGCTCTGGAGTTCACCTGTGGGGTAGCTGCTATGGGAAAGCCTTGATAAATATTGCCTTTTTGCTGCCTTTTTTTTTTTTTTGGAGACCGAGTTTCGCTCTTGTTACCCAGGCTGGAGTGCAATGGCGCGATCTCGGCTCACCGCAACCTCCGCCTCCTGGGTTCAGGCAATTCTCCTGCCTCAGCCTCCCGCGTAGCTGGGATTACAGGCACGCGCCTCCACACCCAGCTAATTTTTTGTATTTTTAGTAGAGATGGGGTTTCACCATGTTGACCAGGTTGGTCTCGATCTCTCGACCTTGTGATCCACCCGCCTCGGCCTCCCAAAGTGCTGGGATTACAGGCTTGAGCCACCGCGCCCGGCCTTTGCTGCCTTTTTTCTGTTCCTTATGTCCCCTGGGACTTGCAAGTTTAGCTGGGCAGAAGAAAAGGAGTGGCTTATAGCCCTATGTATGGGAACAAGGCTCAGCAGGGACTGTGGGGTGACTGGGGCAGATTGCTCAGAGGTAGCTGTAGAGGCCTCTGAGGTAACTGGTGCAGTGAGATGGCAGTACTAGGTTTCCTGGAGGAAGGAAAGGGCACCGGGCACTGAAGAATAAGAATAGGAAAAGTGAGGGGTAAAGAACATTAATATAAACAGATGAACTAGTGTTATTTATCATGTTGGTAATTTCAAAGTTGCCACTGACTTCCATGAATTAATTGTATAGGATTTAATTTGTGCTTTTTCATCCCTTATCTCATTCGTTCCCTAAAACCACACAGTAAGATAGGTTGAGTATTTACCATTTTACAACAAATTAAAGGACATAGTAGAGATTAGCAACTTGCTTAGAAACACACAGCTAGTCAATGATAAAGATGGGATCTTTATGTCACTACTAAAGAAAAATACTATTTTACACTAATAAGATGCATATTTTTTTCTCTAGTAAAAGATAACAAGAAGAACAGAGCTAAAAAGACACATGCCCCCAAACCACAAGTTGAAGATGAAGCTGGAAGTGGACTGGACAATGATGACTTCAAGGTCACCACAACTCCTGACATGCCTACCACCCAACACAATAAAGTCACCACATCTCCCAAGACTACAACAGCAAAACCAATAAATCCCAGACCCAGTCTTCCACCTAATTCTGATACATCTAAAGAGACATCTTTGACAGCCAATAAAGAGACAACAGTTGAAACTAATGAAACTACTAAAACAGACAAACAGACTTCAACTGATGCAAAAGAGAAGACCACTGCAGCTAAAGAGACAAAAAGTGTAGAGAAAACATCTGCTAAAGATTTAGCACCTACATCTAAAGTGCCGGCTATACCTACGCTCAAAGCTGAAACTACAACCAAAGGCCCTGCTCTCACCATCTCCAAGGAGCCTGCACCCACCACTCCCAAGCAGCCTGTACCCACCACCACCAAGGAGCCTGCACCCACCACTCCCAAGGAGCCTGCACCTACCACCACCAAGAAGCCTGCACCCATCACCACCAGGGAGCCCACACCCACTACTCCCAAGGAGCCTGCATCTACCACTCCCAATGAGCCTGTACCCACCACCACCAAGAAGCCTGCACCCACCACCCCCAAGGAGCCTGCACCCACTACTCCCAAGGAGCCTGCACCCACCACCACCAAGGAGGCTGCACCCACCACTCTCAAAGAGCCTACACCCACCACCACCAAGAAGCCTGTACCCATCACCCCCACGGAGCCTGCACCCACCACTCCCAAGAAGCCTGTCCCAATTACCCCCAAGGAGCCTGCACCTACCACCTCCAAAAAGCCTGTACCCACTACCCCCGAGGAGCTCACACCCACCACTGTGGATGAGCCTGCTTTCACCACCCCCGAGGGGCCCGCTCCCACCACCGTGGATGAGCCTGCTTTCACCACCCCTGAGGAGCCCAATCCCACCACCCCTGAGGAACCTGTACCCACCACCCCCGAGGGGCCCGCTCCCACCACCCCTGAGGAACCTGTACCCACCACCCCCGAGGAGCCCGCTCCTACCACCCCTGAGGAGCCCGCTCCCACCACCCCTGAGGAGCCCGCTCCCACCACCCCTGAGGAGCCCATACCCACCACCACTGAGGAGGCCGCTCCCACCACTCCCAAGGCACCGGCTCCCACTAGCCCTAAGGAACCTGCTCCAACTACCCCCAAGAAGCCTGAACCCACTACCCCCAAGAAGCCTGAGCCCACTACTCCCAAGAAGCCTGAACCCACTACCCCCAAGAAGCCTGAGCCCACTACCCCCAAGAAGCCTGAACCCACTACCCCCAAGAAGCCTGAGCCCACTACCCCCAAGAAGCCTGAACCCACTATCCCCAAGAAGCCTGAGCCCACTACCCCCAAGAAGCCTGAACCCACTATCCCCAAGAAGCCTACTCCAACTACTCCTAAGACACCAATCACTTCAAAGGCCTCTACTCCAGCTACCACCATGGAGCCACCCTCTAGCACCGAGGGCCCTGATGAATCAACTCCTGAGCTTTCTGCAGAACCCACAACTAAGACTCCTGCATTGACTAACCCTGAAATGACTACAACAGCTAAAGACAAGACAACAGAAAAAGACATACGTACTACACCTGAAACTGCAACTGCTGCACCTAGGATGACAAAGGAGACAACTACAACAGAAAAAACCACCGAGCCCAAAATAACAAGTACGACCACACAGGTACCACCTACCACAACTCAAGATACCACATCATTCAAAATTGCTACTCTCAGAGCAACTACTCTTGCACCCAAAGTAAGTGCTCCAACAACAAAGACAATTACTACAACTGAGACCATGAACACACCCGAAGAAACACCTAACCCAAAAGATACAGCTACTAATTCTAAAGCGACAACTCCTAAACCTCAAAAGCCAAAAGGCACCCAAGAAAACCTCAAAGCACCCAAAACACCCACTTCTACCAAAAAGCCAAAAACACCTCCTCGAGTGAGAAAACCGAAGACGACACCAACTCCCCGCAAGATGACATCGACAATGCCAGAATTGAACCCTACCTCAACAGTGGCAGAAGCCATGATCCAAACTACCACCAGGCCTAACCAAACTCCAGACTCCAGACCAGTTGAAGTGAATCCAAAGAATGAAGGTGCAAATGGTGCTGAAGGAGAAACAGCTCACACGATTCTCAGGCCCCATGTGTTCACGCCTATCGTCATTCCAGGCACGGATTACTTACTGCAAGTACCCAATCAAGGCATTTTCATCAATCCCAAGCTTTCAGGTATTAAGGATCAGTTATTTTCATTTTAAAGCTGGTAATGTTAGTTTACATCTATCTGAACCAGAATGCCTTAGTTTAGTTATCACTCAACTGAGATATATTACCTGACCTTGTTAACTTGTGAAGTTTTACAGCTTCCCTGTAGATAAGCAGAGGTGTAACCATAGCAAGCTTATTCATTATCTAGAAAATAGAGTAATAATTTAGGGTTAGGAATTTAGCACATGTGTCTGTGAGCAGCAGAGATGGTATATAGAAGGTCAAAAATATTTAGTTGGGAGTCTATTCTTAAAAGTACAATGCAAAGCAAGAGTTTATAGTATTCTTTTCCAAACTAACCCAATAGGAGGGCAATTAGAACTGAAAGATGCCAATTTTACACTCAGTTAATACATCCAATAAACGTCTAGTTTACATGAAGATCAAGGTAACCAGGCCCATTCCCATTCATAAATTATTTCATATCATACTTTTAAAGAGTATCATCTTTAAGTAAAATTATCAAGTATGTAAGGATGCAGACACCTCAGACTGTGTCCTTAAAGCTCTTAGAAGAGGTAAACAGGAAATAGAAGCCTGTGAAAAAACCGGAAAAGAACACACAACTTTTCTCATTCTGTTCTCTTTCTGTTTTGTTAATTTGTTTAGATGAGACCAACATATGCAATGGTAAGCCAGTAGACGGACTGACTACTTTGCGCAATGGGACATTAGTTGCATTCCGAGGTGAGCTATGAACACATTTTTCTTCTCACTATTCTGGTTTGGCATTTATGAGAACCAAAGCCATGGAAGAGTGCTAGTTTGGGTTGTTTTCTGGAGGGGAATCCGACTGGTAAACAAACCTCACAGGAGTATCTGAAGGTAGTAACAGAAATACTGGATTAAGGAAATTAGACAAAGTAACAAAACAAAACCAAGACCCTAAACTGAAACTACTGAGGTTTTTTCCTACTGTTAAGCTTTAAAAGGCAGTTTAAATATTTCTTTTTTCTTCGGGGGGAGGGTAGTTCAAATTTTAGTTTCATATCGAATGAAATGACACCGGCATATGTACTTGCTGCTTTATTGGAAAATAACATCTCAGTTGTGATGTGTTCAAAAGTGTTACACTCTCTGTGGGAGCGTAACAGAAGTTATTTCATGTTAATTCTCTGCCGTACTCTCTGCTAGCCCAGTCTTAATACATATTTAGATTAAATCTGAAAACAAATCACACTTGTACAGTAGAGGCTAAAGAAATGTTAGTCATTAAATTATAATTCCTTGGTTCTAAAAGAAAGAAATTGAGATCTAGAGAGATAAGTAACTGTAAGTCACAGAGCCAAAAAGGCTCATTTTTGAGATAATCTCCCTCTGTCACCAACACTGGAGTACAGTGGCGCAATCACAGCTCAATGCAGGCTTGATCTCCTGGGCCCAAGCTATCCTCCTGTCTCAGTCACCTGATTAGCTGGGACTACAGGCATGTGCCACCATGCCTGGCTAATTTTGTTTTTTTAAGACGGAGTTTTGCTGTTGTTACCCAGACTGGAGTGCAATGGCACGATATCGGCTCACCACAACCTCCGCCTCCTGGGTTCAAGCAGTTCTCCTGCCTCAGCCTCCCAAGTAGCTAGGGTTACAGGCATGCGCCACCATGCCCAGCTAATTTTTGTATTTTTAGTAGAGACGGGGTTTCACCTTGTTGACCAGGATGGTCTTGATCTCTTGACCTCGTGATCCACCTGCCTCAGCCTCCCAAAGTGCTGGGATTATAGGCGTGAGCCACCGCGCCCGGCCAGTTTTTTTGAAACAGGGTTTTGCCATGTTGCCCATGCTGAATAATGAAACTCCTGGGCCCAAGCCATCCACCTGCCTTGACCTCCCAAAGTGCTAGGATTACAGGTGTGAGCTACTGCACCTGGCCCAACCTATGGGCTCTTTCTAAAGAAACTAGAAAACTAAAATATCTTAAAGGTTGTGCTAAATTTCGGACTTGGGAAATATCTGCTCTCAGAAATGTTCAAATACTGCCTTTTGTATCTGACTAAACTTCCAGTCACAAAATAAGTAATGCTTTTCTTTATGAAAACATTTTTTTTCATTTTGGTTTCTTTTGTGATAGGTTTTAGCATTTAACTTGCAGGCTGATGTCTTTCCTTAAATTTTAGGTCATTATTTCTGGATGCTAAGTCCATTCAGTCCACCATCTCCAGCTCGCAGAATTACTGAAGTTTGGGGTATTCCTTCCCCCATTGATACTGTTTTTACTAGGTGCAACTGTGAAGGAAAAACTTTCTTCTTTAAGGTAACACAAATATCTTCATGAGAGAAATTTAATTATAATTTCTAACTGCATTGTTTATTACAACATTAATCACCTTAACCTCCAATATAAATGTCGCCGCTTTTCAATAAACTGCTCTATCATCAAAATGTAATCATAATTCAACACAATTTGATAACATTAATGGTCAACATTCAACCCATGTAACTAGGTTAACATGTTCTATAGTGGAATCTAGAAATGAGTTCCTAATCTTTTTTTTCCCCCAAAGTTGCTAACATCATGTACCCTTTTAAATTCTCAGGATTCTCAGTACTGGCGTTTTACCAATGATATAAAAGATGCAGGGTATCCCAAACCAATTGTAAAAGGATTTAGAGGACTAACTGGACAAATAGTGGCAGCGCTTTCAATAGCTAAATACAAAAACCGTCCTGAATCTGTGTATTTTTTCAAGAGAGGTATGTGTTACATTACTGAGATCACAAAACTTTTAAAGAATTATACTCAGTATTTTCATTTATTATTGGGTTGATTGTCAAAAGTTATCTTTAATGGGTGGAATCAAGTATTTTCAGTGAAAAAAATAAAAATTGAGGGTAGTATTCTTATGGCCTTCAATTTTTATTTAGTCTTGACAGGCAAATCACAATTCATTTGAGTTTTCAGGTCACAGATAGAATGACATAATTTACTTCTGCTTCACAAATGTGCATATTATCCTTGCACAGGGACCATGCTCATCACTGTATCATTCTAACTTTAGTATATGTGCTATCAAAGTGAGCACTTGTCACTTTCAGTTGAAATTAAAATATATAACTGTGCAATCTGCTGCACTTATTTAGTCAACAAATATTTCAGGGTTTAATAATTTTTATAATATTCTTGACTAATAGCCATCATTAATACTGGCATATTATATGAAAATAAGAACAAAATGGACTGCTTCTTATGCACTGTAAAAGTTCTTTTCCACCTTTTCTGAGGGGATTAACATTAATTTTCATTTTCCATGTGATATTCTAATACACAACAGGTGGCAACATTCAGAAGTATATTTATAAACAGGAACCTGTACAGAAGTGCCCTGGAAGAAGGCCTGCTCTGAATTATCCAGTGTACGGAGAAACGACACAGGTTAGGAGACGTCGCTTTGAACGCGCAATTGGACCTTCTCAAACACACACCATCAGAATTCACTATTCACCTGTCAGACTGCCTTATCAAGACAAAGGTAACATTTTTATTGTATTAAAAAATCTTTAAACATAAAGTAGATATGATACAGGTTCTTATACAGTAAGGCTTATGCAATATAAATACTGATCAAACAGCCCTAATAATTTAAGCTTACTGATGAAAAACTCATCCACTTGCCTTAGTGAATAACAAAGACCAATACTTTCTTTTTCCTTATGGGTAAGGAAAGCAGTTTATTCAGGTTTGTTAGTTGTAACCAATACTATTTATCAAGTATTACTTAACAAGAACATTATATACCAATCTACAACCCTCAATAGTTGTACATCAGAGGGTAAAATCATGATTAAAACTCAGATCTGTCTGGCTATTTCCAAGATAGTGCATTGCCTTTTAATCTGGTATTTTTTATTAAAACTTTTCAGCTACAGATTTCCTTCATAATGAAGTTAAAGTGAGTACACTGTGGCGAGGACTTCCAAATATGGTTACCTCAGCTATAGCACTGCCTAATATCAGAAAACCTGATGGCTTTGATTACTATGCCTTTTCTAAAGGTAAGTTATTAACTAATACCTTCCCAAGGAGGTGGTATCATTTGTGAAAATATGAAGATCAAGTAAAAATACTGGCTGCAATGCTGACTGAATGTGAAAAGTTATATGATACTTACTCTAATTGCTATGAAAAAGAGCTAAGACTTTTGCTTTCATTTCAATTAAACTGAATGGCATTGCAATTCAATTCTGCTCTAACCTTCATGAGATTACAATAAAACATCCAATTACTAGAGTAAACTTGCTACTGATGATAGTATTTTACTTCAGTCATTTGTGGCATTTAACAGATACCTTGTTTGCAACAAGGTTATACTCATTTGTATCATTACACAGTCTGTAAGATCAGAAAGAAGTTTCTGAGAAACTAATTTTATTAATCAAATTATATTACTCAGGATGCTCTTCTTTGAAATGCCCAGAAATCTAAGTTATTCTGCCTTTAATTCTATAACATGAATGACATCAACAGGTATTTTTTAAAAAGAATAAACCCAAGTAAATTATTTTTCAAATTTGGTTACTATTAAATGCTCACTTAATTAAGGAGAGTTGAACCTGATTTTACAAAAAGATGGTGAAAGGTCAATCTTTTGAAACGTCAAAAAAGCTGAAAGGTTGAAAAGTCAAGGAAATTATTTTTCTTTTTGTTAGAAAGTTCAAATTAATTAGTAAAAACATCTCTATTCAAATGATAAATATTGTCAGAGCATAATAGTCAACACAGTTATTTTTTAGTTTGGGCATTGTTTTCTTTTCAACTAAAAAATTATTTTCTCTTCCATTTAGATCAATACTATAACATCGATGTGCCTAGTAGAACAGCAAGAGCAATTACTACTCGCTCTGGGCAGACCCTATCCAAAGTTTGGTACAACTGTCCTTAGACTGACGAGCAAAGGAGCAGTCAACTAATGAAGAAAAGAATAATAAATTTTGACACTGAAAAACATTTTATTAATAAAGAATATTGAGTCAAGTATACCAATTTAAATATAAAAATGTTTTTAAACTTGACAATCATTACACTAACAGAGATTTGACAATCTTATTCACAGTTGTTATTGTTTACAGACCATTTAATTAATATTTCCTCTATTTATTCCTCCTCTCCCTCCCATTGCATGGCTCACACCTGTAAAAGAAAAAAAAATAGAATCAAATTGAATATATCTTTTAAGAATTCAAAACTAGTGTATTCACTTACCCTAGTTCATTATAAAGAATATCTAGGCATTGTGGATATAAAACTATTGGGTATTCCACAACTTCAATGGAAATTATTACATGCAGATTAATATTTTTGTGACATGCGAACAATTTTAACAGTTACACTGGAAAACATGGAATTACTGAACTTTTACATTTTTACTAGCTAAAACATAATCACAAAGCTTTATCCTGTTGTATAAAAAAATTTAACAATATAATGACAATAGCTAAAGATACAACAAATGAATATAACACTGTAAGACTTTATATTTTCCAAATCTTAATTTGGAAGGATATATTTAAAATATAATTTTATAATTTATAAATTAATTTTAGAATTTTGGAAGGATATTAAAATCTTAATTTGGAAGGATATATGTAAAATATAACACTTTATATTTTCCAAATCTTAATATCTAAGAAAGAAATCAATAAATATAAAATATAAGCATAAACTTATTATATACCTAAGGTATACAAATCTGTCTACATGAAGTTTACAGACAGGTAAATAGCACTTGCTCAACATGTAATTATTAAAAAAAAAACATTAAAAAAAAAGTAAACTGGAGGCTTAAGGATTAGAAAACTTGTTCCATTTATTACTATCCCACATTCTATCATGTAATCCAGTTCTGTTAGAAATTCACCTCTCTGTCTGTTAAACTGACGACCACGGACACCTTGTCTCAATGTTGTCTGAAGTCTTACTCGTCTGAAAGGCTTTGGTTGACTACTACTAGTATCTACGAAAAACATTAAAAGAAAAGGAAGTCAAAAATGAGAAAGCATTTATAATGATGCAAACTAATTACTAAATGAATGCATGAATAAGATGCAGACTTGTCCATTTGCTTTCAGTATTTCTTTCTTTTTTTAAACAATGAGGAACATTTAACAAACCAAAAAGGGTAAATGGTTAAACAACAACAATGATAAAAGCAGCACTTTGGGAGGCTAAGACGGGAAGATCACTTGAGCTCAGGAGTTTGAGACAAGCCTGGGCAACACAGCGTGACCCTATGTTTTACAAAATCATAAAACAATTAACTGGGCATGGTAAAACATGCTTACAGTCCCAGTTAGGAGGCTGAGGCTAGGGGATCACTTGAGTCCAGGTGAGGTTGAGGCTGCATGAGCTATGATCAAGCCACTGTACTCCAGCCTGGGAAACAGGCAAGACACTGCCTCAGAAAAAACAGAAGCACTTGACTATTTTCATTTCTTCACTTATATTAATAAATATTTACTTCTTGACTCCTCCTGTATCAAGCATAGTGCCAGGTGCTGAGAAATACAATAGAAAACAAAATATCAAGTCCCTCAGCAACAGCCTACAATAGAACACAAATTATATCTGATTCTTCTTTTTCAGACACCCCAAACGCAATCATTAGCAAATTCTGAATGCTCAAATTTAAATATATATCCCAAATCTGACTACCTCTCACAACCCCAACTCTACCATTCACCTAAGCCACCACTATCTTTTCCTGAATTACTCCAACAGCCTCCAAAGTTTGTCCTTGTTTCTGTCCATTATTCATTTCCAATCTCTTCTGTACATAGCAGCCAAACTGATCAGATAATGTCAGGTCATTATTTGTGTGAAGCCTTCCAATAGCTCCCGGTATCCATGAGAGAGCCAAGGCAATTACAATGATGTGCCTGATCTATCCTCTCCCGCCCCTAATATATCTCCTGCTAGTCTCTGTTCTCATTCACTCTGCTTCAGGCACATGGCCTCCTTGTTGACCCTGAACACAAGCAGATACCTGCTGCCTTACGGACTTGACATCTGTTAGTATTTTCTTCGATCCAGTATGCTTTTTATTAAATAACTGCCCAGCTTTGATCCCTTTCTTCTTTCAGGTCTTTACTTAAATGTCACCTTCTCTTAGTGATGCTTCCTATGAAACTGCCTGCTACATTATCAAGTATTTATTTGTTGACCAAATGAATAACTACTCAGAAGTACATTTTACATTATCAAACAAATTTAAAGACATCTTAATTTCATTGATACTTTCAAAGGGACCAACAACCATATTTTCTCATGAAAGTTCTGATAAGATATAGTAAGTGCCAATTCTCTTGAGGGAAGCCAATTTTTATGGGACATCAAAATATAACCGGGGGCATAAAAGCTCAGTAATTATTAATATGATAGTTATAAATTTTTTGAGCCTTACTGCCTATGAAATGGTTCTATAATTTACATACATTATTTTAAATCCTGATTGCAAGATTAGTTATGAGTATCCATATTACATAAATGTACAGAAATTTAAAGTTACCAGATATGAAAAGGTAGATATTGGATCTGAACTCAGGGAGGTTAGCCAATAGGTTCATGTGTCATATCAAAGCAGCTGAGAGGCAGGGGAAGAGATCTTGGGATAGCAAAGTTCTGTGATTTTGAAAAAGTAATAAATAACTGAGCAGGTGTGCCATAAAATCTGAAGGTTCCATGGCAGAGTTTGAGAATTACCACTGTAAACAATTCAAAATTAAAATAATCTGAGTGAATGACCAACTACTGTAAATCCTTAATAATAAAGGTAATTCTCTGTCTAAGAATCTGAAGTAGACAAGCTACCACATTGTACTGTTTAAGAGTGGAGTCTCTGGAGCCAGACTTCTTTGGTGTAATTGTTGCTTGTCCATTACTTATTAGCTATTTCACTTTGAAGAGGCTATTCACCCTTTCTGTGCCTCAGCCTCCACATCTATAGAATGTGGATGAATATCTACCACATTGAGTTGTGAGAATCAAATGAGTATATATAGGTAAAGGGCTCAGAATACTGCCTGATACACAGTAAGTGTTCAGTAAATGCTGTCATTCTAAAAAAAACTTTTATTACAGGAATAATACATCTTTTTTCAAAATTAACTTCAAAAATTTGAAAAGTCAAATTCTGAAACTGTTTACCTCAGTAAATTTCAAACAATTTTTTTTAAGCAATGGAACTCCTACCCCTCAACTCTCCACATCAAATCTCATGTAGAATCCCAGTATGCAGAATAAATAAAAATGGAGCGACTGTGGTTCAAACAGAGGCAAGGGGCCTGGCACACCCTAGCACTCCTTAGCTTCCCTCCCAGTGTACCCATCGACTCCAACCCCAACAGCACCTCTAAAAGACCCAAGAGCTCTACAGAACATCTGTCGACAACCATTATTCCAGATGAAACATGAGTGAGCTATTCTTTTGGGATGGATTCACCATGTCCATATTTCTTATTATCGATGCCAGAATAGTCTTAGAATAATGATTTCAATATAAACCAAGTTCCCTTTAATAATAAAATTTCTCTTTTAAATAAAGCATTTTAAAATAAAGGAAACAATGATTATTAATTTGTTACTAATATGTTGTTACTAAGAAAGCAGTGTTCTCACAAACAAGTTTGATGCATAAAAGTTGTATTGTGGTCAAGGGCAGGGACTCACCTACAGATGAGCTGGAAGGAGGATCCTGGCTGGTGGAGGGGAGATCTGACTCATCAGAGGCTTGAACCGGCTCTTCTTCCTGTTGGCTATCAATTTCTAGGCCTGCTTCTGAACTAATACTAAGGAAAAGAAAAATTAATTAGAAAATATAAAACTGATTCTAGAGTCTATCCTATTTCTACTCTTTTAAATCTGTTATCACTTAAGATTACTTAAGTAATCCAGAGCTCCCTTAAAGAAAAAAATTACAGACTGATTTGGTAACCATATATATTTTTCAAAGGAGCAGAGGGGAAAACAGTTCAAACAGTTGCTTTTTCCTCACTCCTTTTCTCACTATAACACATTCCAATTTTAGTTTATGACTTTCCTCTTTTTATGTTTCCTTTTTCCTTTTGACAAGGTTGTTCACATCTTGACACTCATAAGAAAATATATGGTCCAGATTTTGATAAATCTCAAAACATTTTACGAAAGCACAGTATTAAAAAGTTCACAAGTCACACTATTAAATGGTATATTAGTAACTAAACCACAGACTCTAGCCCAGATGACACAGGCAATAGGTATGTAAAAATCCTGGCTCAGTGGCTACAACTCCATCTTTCTCTGTTCCATTCAAGACACAAATGAGGGAGATGGTACAAGAATAACATGAATCTGCTCCAGTTTAAGTTATTTGCAAACTTCATTAGCTGACAAGTCATCTGAGTATCTCCCAGGACTGTGCTGAAACTGAATACTGCTGGTGAAGTGTATAGACTATGGGCTGAAGTCAGGGCTTCCAATCCATTCTGAGCTGCTTCCAAAGTAGTGCAGTTTAAGCAAGTTATTTTAACATGCTTTGAGCCTCAGTTTTCTTATTTGTATAACAGAGACAATGCTTAACAGGGATACTGTATAGGTTAGAAATGACATTTGTAAAGTGACTTGCATATGCGGTACAGAATTAGTGTCAGCTAGTGTTTTCAAAAGAGTCTGTAACCTCTCAAAATTAAGCAGCACTGTGTTAAAGAATAACAAAAGAATCACAACAGACCTGCTTTTGTCATCATATGGAAGAGTTGGCCTGTAATTACTCTAAAAAAAGTCGCTAAATAAAATAAATCCTTGAGTTCTATTAGAAAATCTGGGTTCTACTTCTTAGCTATGCTTCTGATTATGAGGTAGTCCAACCTTTTCATTTTATTAAAAATTAGACTTGGCACAGTGGCTCATGCCTGTAATCCCAAATGTTGGCAGTCTGAGGCGGGAGGATCACTTGAGGCCAGGAGTTCGAGGCTGCAGTGAGCTGTGACTGCACCACTGTACGCCAGCCT